GTGCACGGACTGACTGGCATCAGCCACTCTTCTGTTAGGCCTTCATGTTTTTTCCAATCTCTTGCTGCCAAATCTGTTCTGACACTAATCCTTTGGGATTTTTCCATGCAGTGTGGGGTTTTGTATCATTTTACACTTGCTTGGTTTCCAAATGCATTTGCCAGCAGGAACGTTTTGTGTCAGAGTTGCCCGAATGAGGATTGAGTTAGGGTGTGACACGGAGGTCCCTCTGGCTTTGGTTTACACTGAGGTTGCTCTTGGAGAGTGTCTGAATGATGCAGTGCCAATCGTTTTTACAGTAAGTTGTCAGTGTTGAGAGGAAGATTGAAGAGGGCACGGAGGGGTGGGTTTTGTATGTCGGGAGAAGAACCTTAAGCTAAGAGAGCTGCATTTCCCTTCTAAACAGGTGCCAAGCGTCGGTCCTGTCTAAAAACCAGTCTCCTGGCAGCATGAAAACTGACTTTGATTCCATAATTGGCTGCTTGATAATTAGAGTGCTTTAAAGGACCACTCTTATTTTAAGGTTTCCTTCATGGGATATAACAGCATTGCTGACCATATAAAAAATGTTCTGCAAATAACTTATTTGTAACATATGTGTAGCTACATTAATAAAAATGAATTATCATCTATGTATGTATGATAGGTACAGAGAGAAATAAAATAATTATTTCTATTAACAGTATAGGAGGTATCTCTGGCCGTGGCGATGCTTTTTGCAGGCTGAAGGGGCAGCCTGTGCCTGTGAGCTGTTCTCATTCACGTGCTAAAATGAATCTGGAACGGGCAGTGGTGGCCTCTGGCCATGGAGCCAGACAGGCTTTTGTTGGGCTTGGGAGGAATGACAAAGACCTGCTCTCTGAAACCTGCTGGAAAAAGGGTACAACAGGTGGCCCCTGGAGCACCTGCTGCTTCTTGCTACTTGTTGCTTTCCTTCAGGAGCAGCCCCTGCTTCTTGATGTTTTCCCAGGTGAGGACAAGGCCGTGGTCTTTGTCATCAAAAGCAGGGGGATCTGGAGGAGAGAGAGCAGAGAGGAATGGGCTGAGGAGGGTCTGCGGGGCCACCTCCGCTGTGCCCGTGTCCCCGGAGAGATGTGGCCGATTTGGAGGGCTGGTGGCATCCCAGAGAGCCCCGTGCCAGGCCCTCAGGGTCAGGCACTGCTGACGGGCTCTCCCAGCCCAGCGTCCCAGGGTGACCTGCCGGGCCTGGGGATGCCACTGCTGGGGACCCACCCCAACACTGCTGGGGCTTCCCATGAAGGTCTGGAGCTGCGGGGCGGTGGGTTCACCCGGATCCGCTTTGGGAAAAGAGGATGGTGAGCTGCCAAAAGCTTCTTGTCTCTTCCAAGAGCATCCTCTTTCCGTAAGTGTTGAGCCTCTTCCGCGCCAGTATAAGTGATTTCTATGTCAATAATGACACTTGTGACCGGCACTGTTTTTGAAGTGTACAGCAAGGAGCACTCTGTGACTGTGGTTTCCAGTCTGATTTGGACAATAGACTCCTAAAACCACCGCCTTTTGGTTAAGGACTAACAACACACATGGTGAAAGTCACAGCAGATGGGCCTGTGGGTTAGAACATTCTCAAAGACAGACATTTCCCCAGGGCTTCTCTGGAAAAAACAACTTAAGTACAAGCAAACAAGGCAGGAGCAGTGCTGGCTTTGTCCTGTGCCTCGCTTTGGTAAATAGGAGCTTTCTTTGTAACCTGAACTTGTAACGTTTCCAATTACCCATTTACCAGCAGTGCCAGTGCACCACGCTGCAGAGCTTGCTGGGGTTGCATTTGCTAAATCCTGCCCCTCGGGAGCAACGGTCACTAATTCAAGTTCAATTAATGACTGAACAGGCTGGGCTGCAGGGAACTGCTCCAGTGGGGCTGTGCTTCACAGCGGTGTCAGGAGGGGTGTTGGGAGCTATTCCTGGGCCCAGGCTGCAATTCCTGCTGCAGAGCGGCTGTGGCGCTTCCCAGGACCTGGGCTGGAGCTGTAACTGCAGGGCTTGGCCTCCCGCACATGCCTCCTGCTGGAACTGGCTTCTGGGTGCCTGGAAAGGACAACTGTGATTGTCCTTTATCAATTAAACACCAAGACAGGGCTTTAAAGTCCAGCAGGGTTGATTATTTGTGCCCAAGCCAGCTTACTGTCTTTAAAGGTAGGTTTTGGGGGTGTAGCAAACCCCATGTCCCCTGGGTGTCCTTGGGCACCTGGAGACTCCCAAGGCCCCGTGGCACTCAAGCACTGGCTGGCTGGGTGCTCCCAGAGAGGGGTGGTCAGTGGAGCTAAATCCAGCTGGTCACAAGTGGTGTCCTCAGGGCTCGGTGTTGGGATCATTTCTGTTCAACATCTTTATTGATGATCTCGATAAGGATATGTGATGGTTTGACTCTGGCTAAATACCAGGTATCCACCAAGTCGCTCTATCACTTCCCCCCCCTTTCCCCTTGTTTTCTCAATAGGGTAAAGAGGGGAACGAAGATAAACTAACCCTTGTGAATGAAACAAAAGCAGTTTTAATATAAGCAAAGCAAAGCAAAAGTCCGCGCGTGGAAGCAAAAGCAAACAGATTTATTCTCTACTTCCCATGGACAGGCGATGTCGGGCCTTCTCAGGAAACAGGGCTTCAATATGCGTAGTGGTTGCCTCGGAGGACCAAGGGTGACCCCACCCCCTTCCTCCTTTCTCCCAGGTTTATACTGAGCAGACATCATATGGTATGGAATATCCCTTTGGTCGGTTCGGGTCAGCTGTCCTGGCTGTGTCCCCTCCCAAGATCTTGCCCACCCCGTCCCACTGGGGGAAATATCAGAAAGAGCCTTGGTGCTGTGTAAGCGCTGCTCAGCAGCAGCCACAACACCAGGGTGCTATCAACACCCTGCCAGCTCCCAGCACAAACCACAGCACCGTGAGGGCTGCTGTAGGGGAAAACCAATTCCAGCTCAGCCAGACCCAGTACAGGATATAAAGTGTGTCATCAGTGAGTTCACAGATGACACCAAGTGAAGCGGGAGTGTCGATCTGTATGAGGACAGGGAGGCTCTGCAGAGAGACTTGGGTAGATTGGATCAGTGGCCAACGTTAATGGGATGAGCTTCAACAAGGCCAAGTGCCAGGTCCTGCCCTTGGGCCACAACAACCCCCTGCACGGCCACAGGCTTGGGGAGTGTGGCTGGAGCTCTCCGGGAGAGAAGGATCTGGGGGTTCTCACTGACAAGCAGCTGAACAGGAGCCAGCAGTGTGCCCGGGGGGGGCAGGAAAGCCAACGGCATCCTGGCTTGGGTTAGAAATAGTGTGACCAGCAGGAGCAGGGAGGTGACAGTCCCCCTGTGCTCTGACTGGTGAGGCCACACCTGGAGGGTTGTGTCCAGCTTTGGGCACCTCAATCCCAGAGAGATCTCGAGGGGCTGGAGCGAGGGCAGAGGAGGGCAACGAGGCTGGGGAAGGGCTGGAGAATAAATCCTGTGAGGAGCCAGGGAAGGAGCTGGGGGTGTTCAGTGTGAGGAGGAGGAGGCTGAGGGGAGACCTCGTCACTCTCTGCAGCTCCTGACAGGACATTGCAGAGAGGCTGGGGCTGGGCTCTGCTCCCAGGGAATTGGTGACAGAACAAGAGGGAACGGCTGGAAACTGCAACAGGGGAGGGTCAGACTGGGCATCAGGAAAAAATGTTTCCCAGGAGGAGTGGTCAGAGTGTGGAATAGGCTGCCCAGGGAGGGGGGAGTCCCCATCCCTGGGGGTGTTTAAGGGCCGTTTGGATGAGCTGGGGGGGATGTGGGGTAGGGGAGAACTTTGTAGAGTCGGGCTGAGGGTTGGACTCGGTGATCCCGAGGGGCATTTCCAACCCGAGTGATTCTGTGATTCTGTGACACGGGACAAGCCCGCGGCTGCTCTCAGCCCTCCTGCCCGGCCGCTGGGGCAGGGCTCGAGGTGTCCGGGAGGGGGAAGCTGCAGCCTTTGGGCACCTCGCTCCGCCCGAGCTTTTCCCGCAAGCTCCGACGGGGGGCGGGGAGTGGAGCGGAGCCGCAGGGCCGCGGCTGC